CCGTAGGCCTATGTTATGGTGATGAAGTTGGTATACGGTCTCTGATGCTCTTCTGTTTCTTTGTTCATGTCTCTATTCTTTTCTCTCTTTTGTTCTCTCTTTCTCTCTCTTTCTTTTTCTCTCACTTTCCATGTTATCTCACTTACGATGATCTCTCTCTCTCTCTCTCTCTCTCTCTCTCTCTCTCTCTCTCTCTCTCTCTCTCTCTCTCTCTCTCTATCTATCTATCTATCTATCTATTTATCTATATATCTATCTATCTATCTATCTCTTTCTTTTTCTCTCTCCTCTTTTTTGTTCTGTATCTCTATCTTCCTCTTGTCTTCCCTCTTTCTCTCTCTCTCTCTCTCTCTCTCTCTCTTTCTCTCTCTCTCTCTCTCTCTCTCTCTCTCTCTCTCTCTCTCTCTCTCTCTCTCTCTCTCTCTCTCTCTCTCTCTCTCTCTCTCTCTTCCTCTTGTCTTCTCTCTCTCTCTCTCTCTCTCTCTCTCTCTTCCTCTTGTCTTCTCTCTCTCTCTCTCTCTCTCTCTCTCTCTCTCTCTCTCTCTCTCTCTCTCTCCTTTTTTCTCTTTCTTTCGTGCACCTACAGACAGAGACAGACAAGCAACGGCGATAGCATCAATAACAACACAATACAAACAAAACAAAACACGAGCTTCAGAGCGACACGGAGCGGAACCGGTGACAGGCAGGGGAAAGGGGGAAGGGGGGGGGGGGGGTGAGGATGGGGAGGTAGGGGGAAGGTGGATGGGGGGTAGGGGGAAGGAGGAGGGGGGTAGGGGGAAGGGAATAGAGGGAATGAGGAGGGGGGGGGTAAGGGGAGTGGATGGAGGGAGAAGGGGGGGAGGGGGAGAGGCGAGTGACGGGTGGAGGACAGCTAGAGGGAAGTAAAGAGAGAGAAGGGGGGGAGGGGGGGAATAGGAGGAGGGAGATAGAAGAGAGGGAAGTAGGGAGGAGGGGGGGGAGAAAAGGGGAGGAAGGAGGAAGATAGGGATTGGAAGAAGGGAGGGAAAGGAAACAAAGGACGAAGAGAGATGAGCTAGGGAGAAAGGAGAAGGGAGGAAAAGAGGAATGGGAATAGGAAGGAAGTAAGGAAAAGGAGAGAGAGAGAGAGGAAGAGGGGAAAAGGAAAGAGAAGGAAGAAGAGAAAGAGAATACAAATAAAAGAAAAAAAAAAGAAAGCAGAGAGGAAAAGAAACACGAAAAGAAAAATGGAGACAAGGTATGGGGGATAACGAGAAGCAGGAAGGAAGGCGGAGAGTGGGAAGGGGGGGGTGGGGGATGGAGAGAGAGAGAGAGGGGGGGGTTGAGGGGGGAGGGGGGATACCTGTGACGTGTTACCTGTGATCGCATTAAGTGCCATCTAGCGACCATGACGGGAAGTGTTTGTTGTCGTGACCTGAAATCCTGTACGAAACTGCCGCATATGATCAGCGAAAACGAATAATAATAATAATAATAAAATATAAATGCGAATGATATGTCTAATGCCTTTCGAGTTGGGATTTATGTTTAAGTTTAAGAGCAGTGTGTGTGTGTTTGTGTCTCCGTGAGAAATTCGAGAGTTTGAGCGATGGAAAAATAATGATAATTTCTGAGAAAATGTTTTGAATCACTTTATGCATGAATGAACCGTGCAGATGTTGTCATTGTGCTCTGTTTTGTGTTATTCATCACGTTTCTCTCTCTCTCTCTCTCCTCTCTCTCTCTCTCTCTCTCTTTCTCTCTCTCTCTCTCTCTCTCTCTCTCTCTCTCTCTCTCTCTCTCTCTCTCTCTCTCTCTCTCTCTCTCACACACACACACACACACACACACACACTCACACACACACACTCACACACACACACACACACACACACACACACACACACACACACACACACACACACACACACACACACACACACACACACACACACACACACACACACTAACGAACACACATATACACACACACACAAAACATTCCATTAAAATTATCAAAATGAGCGACCTAAAAAAAGCATCCCATTGCAGAACAAACCTTAACACCGTAAACCTATGACGCAACGGTAGAATAAATTGAATAAATAGTCCCATTAAACTAATTCCCTCGAGCAAAATGGCCGCCGCTGCTTCTCTCCGCCCGAATTCAGAAAAAAAAGAAAAATGAAAAATGAAAGAAAAAAAAAGAAAAATGAAAAATGAAAGAAAAAAATCCTTTTGCTGTAACGTTGATGGATTCCTTAATTTTCTTTTTCTTTTTTTATGGCCATTAAGAAGATGAAGAGGGGGAAGAGGAGGAGAGGAGGAGAAGAAGTAGTGAAGGACGTAGGGAAGGAGAGAGAAGGGGACTAGAGGGGGAAGAGGGAAGGCGAGTAAAGGAGAGATAGAGGAGGGAAATAAAGCAGGGAGTGAGGAGAGGAATAGGAAGAGAAAAATGTAGGAAAAGATGAGAGGAAGAGAAGACAAACGAAGTAGGGAAAGAGAAGAGGAAGAGGGGAGAAAGAGGTAGGAAAAGAGGGAAGTAAGAAGGAGTGGGGAAATAGAAGGAAGGAAGAGGGAAGTGGGGGATGAGAGAGAAGGAAGAAGGAAGTAGGCAAAGAGGAGAAGAAGAAGGGGAGAAAAAAAGGAGGAAATGAGGGGGAGAAAGAAGGAGAGAGAGAGAGTAGGGAAAGAGAGGGAAGGAAGAGGGAAGTGAAGAAAGAGAGAGAAGGGGAAGCGGGGAAGAGAAAGAGGATGTGGAGAGGCAAGGGAAGGGGGGGGGGGGAGAGGGAAGGAAAAAGGGTTTGTGGTAACTCGTAAGGCCGTCTTGATTACTTGTTTACTTGATTGGTTGATTGGTTGGTCGTCCGCCCGCTTGGCAGTGTCACCTCGGCAAACCTAAGCAACCTATGAGAAATGCTACGACCTATTTCCCAGGGAGTTTCTTGTAGTGTCCGTAGTATTTTGACTTTAATAATTCCTTCTTGTCTTCTTCTTCTTCTCCCTTTCTTCTATCGTTCTTATTCGATTTCGATCAATCTTTCTTTTTTTTCTTTTCTCTCTTCTCCCTTCTCTCTTCTTTTCTCTTCTCTTCGCTCTCTCTCTCTCTCTCTCTCTCTCTCTCTCTCTCTCTCTCTCTCTCTCTCTCTCTCTCTCTCTCTCTCTCTCTCTCTCTCTCTCTTTCGTTTTCCCTTCTTCAACTATTTCTTATTTTTTAGCTTTATCATTCTTAAAGAAATCACTACTTTTTTTTCTAATACTCGGTCAAGGAACAAACAATTAAACAACAACAACGAGAAGAAAAAAAATAAAACAAAATCATAAGTAACAATGCGATCACTACCACAAAGTGTTCATAACGTTCAGCAGTTGTTCACCGTCACAGCGCAACCAAACAGAACCCCATTAACCAGAGGGAACAACGCGACAAAACTCAAGAACTTAGGAAGACATGGCGGCTGCTGCTAACTTAACCTCAGGAATTCCAGGCAAAACTTCTTTCTTTTTTTAAAGTGTCTCCGTGCTGTCTGGTCTCTTCCTTACGCCACTAATGAGCCTTGTCACCCAAAAAAGAATACGGCGAAACTCTACAGCAAACCGTACGTTAAGTTTTACGAAAGAAATGGGCTGTAATTACACGAACAATTACTCTTTTACCGGCTGTTAGTGGAAAGCGAGAGAGAGAGAGAGAGAGAGAGAGGGAGGGAGGGAGGGAGGGAGAGAGAGAGGGAGAGAGAGAGAGAGAGAGAGAGAGAGAGAAAGGGAGGGAGGGAGAGAGAGAGAGAGAGAGAGAGAGAGAGAGAGAGAGAGAGAGAGAGAGAGAGAGAGAGAGAGAGAGAGAGAGAGAGAGAGAGAGAGAGAGAGAGAGAGAGAGGGGGGGGGGTAGGATTGAGAGAGAGAGGAGGATTGAGAGAGAGAAAGAAGGAGGGAGAGAGAGAAGGAGGGAGGGAGATAAAGATAGAGATAAAGATAGAGATAGATAGATAGATAGAGAGAGAGAGAGAGAGAGAGAGAAAAGGGAGGGTGAGGGAGGGGGGGAAGACAAACAGACAATAGCGCCGATTTAAAGCCCTTGCGCAAAATGCAGACGGACGAAAATGGCGGGAAAGGAAGCTCTATTCATAAATAACGGTTATGGAAAAGGAAAATGGAAGTGTGTTACGTTTAAAGGAGAGGATTGGGCAAGAGATCTGCGATTCGGGACCGGCGGGTTATTATAGAGGAAATTATTCGTGCAAAAAGGGAAATTGTGGAATTTGCGGAAGTAGTATGTTGTGTAGGAATGTGGGGGGGAGGGGGAGAGAGAGGGAGGGAGGGAGAGAGGGAAGGAGGGAGGGAGGGAGGGAGGGAGGGAGGGAGGGAGGGAGGGAGGGAAGGAAGGAAGGAGGGAGGGAGGGAGGGAGGGAGGGAGGGAGGGAAGGAAGGAGGGAGGGAGGGAGGGAGGGAAGGAAGGAGGGAGGGAGGGAGGGAGAGAGAGAGAGAAAGGAAGAGAGAGAAGAGAAGAGAAGAGAGAGAGAGAGAGAAAAAGAGAAAGAGAAAGAGAAAAAGAAAAAGAAAGAGAAAGAGAGAGACTCAGAAAGACAGACAAAATGAGTGGATAATAACAATAAGCGCAACAACAGCAACAATTATAATAATAAAAACCCAAAAGATCCCTCAACGACAGAACACAGACTTTAAACCCTTCTTACCTAACCCATCCACCATCCCAAAATATAGACAAAAAAAATCCAAAAGCTAAAATAACAAAAAAATACTCAAATCTAAGATCAAATAAATAACAATAATAAAAATAGAATGCCTCAAAAAAAAGAAATCTATAAAAAAAAATCACAAAAGGGGGATACAAAATAAACCTAAAATAAAATCCATCTAAGAAAAGAAAAGAAACTGAAAAAAAAAATCAAACAAGAAAAGACGAGAGAGAAAAAAAAAACATCTCAAAAAGAAAACCAGAATAAAATAAGAAAAAGTAAAATAAAAAAAGGGAAGGAAATTTTTCAAATATACAAACATCCAATAGACTAATAATCACTTACCAGATACTGATTGATGGGTTTATCATAAATGCGCTGAATCCTGGTGGCGTTGAGGGCATGGGCGATGTGCAGCGCCGTGTGATCGAAGCGGCCGTATTTGTAATCATTGTGTCCGTTTTCTGAACCGTTGCCGCTGCCGTTGCCGCCCTGTTGGAGGACGAAAACGGGGATACGTGATTACTGTTTTATTTAATGATAGTACTAGGAGTAATAATAATAATTGGGTATAAGTGTTGTTTTAGTGTTATTTCAAGCACATTATTTTTGTCGTTTTCGTTTTTTTTTGTTTTTTGTTTTTTTTGTTATGATTATTTCTCTCATTTATTTTATATAGTTTTGTTTTGTTCTCGATTTCAGAATTTGTTCTCTTTGGACCTGGTTTATTTCGTTGCGAAATTTATATCAAAGCAAACGTTGGTAATAGAAACGGAGGGACACACATGCTCCATTTATTTATGTGTGCGTGAGTGTGTGTGTGTGTGTGTATGTGTATATATTCAACTTACACATATATGTATATATGTACTCATTTACCTATCAATCTATTTACAGTAGGTACCTTCGCTTCGTCAGCACCTGACTTCGCAATCTTAACACAGTCCACTTTATCCTTTCTCTTTCTCTCACCACTTATGCAGAGAGAAAAACTAGACCCGCTAACTTCTTACACATCTCGAGAAGAAAAAAAAAAACTAGTATATCTGGATTTTTTCCGCCTATCTGACTCACTCCCGCCCACCCTTTAACGCCCACCTCTGCTGCTACTACTACTACTACTACTACCATCACCTTGTTCTCACTACTACTACTTCTATTTCTGCTATTACAACTGCTGCTTTGATTACTGTCGCGTCTGCTCTTCTGCTGGTGCTGCTCATTAATGACTATTACTGTTGATATGATTTAGTCTACTGATTCAGCTGCTATGATTGCTATGACTGGTTCTACTACTTTTGCTTCGTCTGCTCCTGCTAATCCTTCTAAAACTGCTTTTTATTCTGCTGAAGCTTCACTGACACACCCATGATTGCTAAAATGCTACGCTCTCTACTGGTACACTGCTACGTTTACTACTGCACTGCTATGCTGATTACTGCTACACTATTATGTTCATTAATGCTGCATTGTTATGTCTACTACTAGTACACTGCTGCATTCACTACTGTTACACTATTTCTACTCATTACCACTAATATTGCATAATCACTTCCTTTGCTATCACTTTAATAACAAAATGATGTATATATCAATAAAATACCGATCGTACTATGAAAGACTCATGCCACAAATCCTCAATGATTAATCAGAACTTAAAAAAAGGTCTTTGCGGTTTTTCCGAGTCACACTCAGGAAGGGCCGTGGGGCACGCCCACGTACGCACGGGTGGAAGCCAATACGCACATTTAAACGCATCCGCACACTCTAGGAAGAAACATGCACGCAGTTTAAAAAGGAAACAGACTCATATTCACAGGTTAAAGAGGCCACATACGCAAAAGAATGCACGCAATGTAGAAGGGGAGGTAATACACCAATTAGAAAAACAACATACGCAAAAAAATAACACGCACGCAATGTAAACAAGGGAAAAGTACACAAACATTCAAGTAAGAAAGACACACGCACGCGCAAAGACAACCAAACCCACGCAATAAGGAAAAGTAAAGAGACCCGCCGATCGCAAAGACACGCGCTTCACCTCACCTTATGCGCGTACGGGGACTTCAGCACGATCGAATCCCCGTCGATGGAGGGCCTCCCACCCGGCCGGATCTGGTCGTTGACGAAGTGGGCAGACTTGGGTACGTTGAGGGCCGACCGGATGCCCACAGCCTCTCCGTCCAGATGCCCAGGCCCGATCTTGGGCACGTGGGATGAGCAGTACACCTCCTTGTCATCCTGAAATGAGAGAGAGAGAGGGGTATGAGTCTGGCGATTGGGTATCTATTCAGGGGGGGGGGGGGTATTGTGAGGTCGGTAAGCGAGGGATAAGTGGCGAGTGGATGCGTGGATTAGGATTTTAAAGGTCTTTAAGTAGGGAGTCTGTTAGGATTGGGATAGGTATGTATTGGACTTCAACGGAATGAAATATAAGTATGTAGGAAGCATTTTTGTAAAGGGTGTACGTTTCTAAAATAACTATACATTTTTTTTACACACACACACACACACACACACACACACACACACACACATACACACACACACACACATACACACACACACACACACACACACACACACACACACACACACACACACACACACACACCTATATACATACACACTCTTCTTTCCACACGCACACACACATTCTTCTTCCCAACACTCGAGAAAACCTCAGGGAAAGTGGACGCATTTCCCTCGAACGGCCCCTGGTTACTACATCCCAAAAGGGGGGGGGGAGAAAAAAAAGGGTCAGTTACCTTTCCATGACAGAAAGACACGGGAGAAGGAGGGGAGGGGGGGAAGGGGGTTGCTTCACCATGACGGAGATTCTCTTCATAATAATCGAGACGTGTGTCAGTTCGCACGAGGGAGAAACGGTGATCAAATACCGTCCGCGGTTAATTAAATTCTTGGCATTTTTGATACGTGTGGATTATCATTACTTTTGTGAGATTCGGTATCTTTTTTCGAATCTAGCAAGCTTCGAATCTATCTATTGATCTATCTATCTATCTATCTGTCTATCTATCCAACTATCTTTATTTATCTATATATCTATCTATCTATCTATATTTATCTATCTGTCTATTTATCTATGTGTCTATCCATCTATCTATATTTATCTATCTGTCCATCTATCTATATTTATCTATCTATCCTTTTACCTATCTATCTATCTATCTATCTATCTATCTATCTATCTATCTATCTATCTATCTATCTATCCATCTATCTATCTATCTATCTATCTATCTATCTATCTATCTATCTATCTATCTATCTATCTATCTATCTATCTATCTATCTATCTATCTACCTACCTATCTATCTATCCACCTATCTATCTATATATCTATCTATCTATCTGCCTATATATTTATCTATCTCTTTTCTATATAGTTTATTGTGCAGTCTTTCTCTCTTAGGATCAGATAACGACAACAGGAAAATAAGAACGAATCATACAGGAAAAGAGAGCTAAAAAGCGACAATATATATATATTTTTCCCACAATTATGTCCCTCAGAATAAACGGATTATAAACCGTATCCCATATTTTTAATCCGTTTAATACGGAACGACCTTCTTACCGTAAAAAAATGATAGTAAATTAATAATAATAATAATAAAAAAGATTCATGACTGTTTCCTTTTTCAAATGATTCGACTTCCTTACGCAAAATAATAATGAATAAATAAATGAATAAATAATTGTTTTGCGACTGTTTCCCTTTTTCCTAATAAAAACATAAATAAATAAAAATACTTTACAAATAGATGAATAAATAAATGTTTTACGACTGCTTCCTTTTTTCCTAATAAAATCATGAATAAATAAAAATACTTTACAAACAGATGAATAAATAATTGTTTACGACTGTTTCCCTTTTTTCCTAATAAAAAGCATAAATAGATAAATAAATAAATAAAAATTCCTTACAAGCAGATGAATAAATAATTGTTTACGACTGTTTCCCTTTTTCCTAATAAAAAGCATAAATAGATAAATAAATAAATAAATAAATAAAAATTCCTTACAAACAGATGAATAAATAATTGTTTTACGACTGTTTCCCTTTTCCTAATAAAAAAACACGAATAGATAAATAAAAATTCCTTAAAAACAGATGAATAAATAATTGTTTTACGACTGTTTCCCTTTTTCCTAATAAAAAAAAACAAATAAATAAATAAATAAAAATTCTTAACAAATAGATGAATAAATAATTGTTTTACGACTGTTTCCCTTTTTTCCTCATAAAAGAATAGATAAATAAATAAAAATTCTTTACAAATACTTCCTTCTTCGCACGATCCACACTCCAACGCGTCAGTTTCTGGAGGCGCGAACGTTCTCTCGCCCCCAGCAGGTTTCTAGACCCGAACGTTCATCGACCGAAACGTTTTTTTTTTCTTTTTTCTTCTTTTTTTAAATCCTTCGGTGCGATCCGTTGCGCCGCCGACAGAAAGTGATCAGCGGAGTTGCCTCATTTTCGAAGGTTTTTTTTTTTTTTGGGGGGGGTGAAGTTCTGTGATTTTCGTTGATTTAATTAATCTATATTATTTTGTCTATTATAACTTGATGGCGTTGTTATTGGTTATCGTCCCACGCTGTTGTTATTATCGTTCGCTGGCATTGTTTTTTATGGTTGATCTTCCGTTAACATCATTATTGTAGTTATCTTCCGTTATCATTATTGTAGTTCACATTTGTTATTATCATCCGTTA